GCTGATGACCTGGCCCCGCAGCAGGAAGGACTCGTTGGCCAGGAGGGTGGGCTCCAGGCTCCCCGCGCTCTCCACCGTCAGCATCTCCCCCTCCAACAGGCTGATGTTTTGTACCTGCGGGGGACGGCCAGGCGTCACTGCCCCAGCATCGCCCCGGCACCCGGCTCAGAGCCGGTCCTCGGGCGGCTTGCCCGCGGTCGATAGCGCGCTGGAGCTTGTCTGCACGGGGCAGCACCTTTCAAACACGGTTAGCAGTGCCATAAATCATCCCGCCGTGCAAAGAGCGGCAGGGCCCAGCCGGTGGCTCCACCGGAGTGCCGCGGCACAGCCGGACCCACACCAACAGTCCTGCCAACAGCCAGGCATGCGCCCCAGCGCTCCAGAGCAATTTGCTATTAATGATGTTAATTAAGCGGTGCTGCGCGGTGATGAGCGGCGGCACTGACGAGCGCTGCTGCGTGAGGAGGAGGAGCAGGGGCTGACCGCGGAGCTGCTGCCTCCTGCTTGCTGCCCGCTTTCGGTGTGCCACGGTGCTGCCCCGTGGCGGCTCAGGGCGGTGCGCTGGGAAGAGGTGGGGGACACCCTGCCGCTGACGGGAACAGCAAACAGCAACACGGCCTCCTGCCGCTGACGGGAACAGCACGTGGCCTCGGCACCGCGGGAGCTGCCGCCAGCCTCTGCTCCTGGCAGATGGGCACCAGGTTTTCCTGGCTCTGCACCACAGCGTCGCACCCGCCGGCATTGCTTACACCTTCTCCATCAGTGCTTCATTAATTAAATCCCGTGTCGCTTCTTCCGTGATGGGTGCCAGCCACGGCAGCCGGTGAGCACAGGGCTCCCACCAGCTCACGTGTCTGCATCCCTGCTGCAGGGTCCGAGAGTGGGTGATGCCCTGAGCCGGCTCTCCTGGCTCGGGGACACGGGGACAAGGACGAGAACAGGGACAGGACCACCTGTTTGCTGCACTGTGCACGGCCACGCAGCCACGGCACGGAGCAGGGGACGGGCCACGCTTGCCTGCCGGCACTTGGCACCCCATCCCACCCGCAGCCCCCAGCTCACCTTGAGCTCCACGCCGTAGCCAGGGTAGACGGAGATGGTGTAGGTGCAGTCTAGGCTGCCATCGTAGGGGACAGCGGCCGACTCCGGGGACACCAGCCAGCCCTCGGGGCCCGCCAGTGTCCGGTTGCAGGGGGCTGGTGACAGAGGAGACCCCGGCTCAGCCCTGCTTCGCCCCAGCTCCCCCCAGCTCCCTCCCCGGCCCTCACCTGGCCCCTGCAGCGTGGTGACAGTGGTGGTGGTGATGGTGGAGGTGGTGGTGGTCCCCTCCTCATCCCCGGGGACCACAGTGGCCCCAGCGTGGGGTCCCAGGGATGTGCCAGGG